CCCCGCTTCCCCCCCTCTTTTTTTATAGTTCATTGTCGTCATTTGCATGCTGGCACGGAGGCTGTAATAAATGAATCTGTAACCTGTGATGAGCATGGAAATATAGTACAGCATCGATTTTTGTTGTCTTATTACAGAATGTAGTTGTTGAGATTTTTTAATAATACAGATAGAAGCGTATTTTGGCGCAATTTTCAATTTTTGCCACTTACCATCAACCCCCCTTCCCCACTCAGGTACTTCCTGACTGTTGTCCACGGATTATCTGTTGTTTTGTCAAACGACACCAAATTCAACTATTAGAGTGATTTTTTTTAGATTAATTGTAGTAATATTGTCCAATAAATTTCGAAGGAGTGAAGCTGTAGAAGTAGAGTATAAAAAGCGGGTAAAGAAAAGATAAGGAAGAGAGATTAAAATAATTTCCGAACAAATTGGACCTAAATGAAAAGATGAGGAAACAGAGGGAGGGGAAGATTGTCGTAGGGGATATATGAACTGTGTTGTTAAACGTAGATATAATACTTCTATCCCCATTTATTCTGATGCAATGCAAATATTTGTATTTTGCGATAATGGAACTATTGTAGTAGCAGGATATCATTTTAGATAGAATGGTAAAAAATTGCTGCAAGAGTTTTAGCGCTCTAAACAAACTCTGCAGGGAAACTTGCATGTCAGCCGAGAATTTGGAGGTAAAGATAGCTTGCAGCTTGAAGGACCTGAAATTGCTGCAGAGCTTAGATATCTTTTAAATTTGCTCACTCTCTGTTGGCATTTCTCCAAGAAACCCTTTCCCTTATTTCTGGAAGAGACTGGCTATTCTCAAGAGGATGTTATTCTCCAAGAACCTAAAGCTGGAGTAAGTTTCCTCCCCCTTTTAATTTCTTTTTGTTCATTTTATGTAGAGATAATTGAACGATTACTTTTGAGGTTCAGTCAGTTACTCTCCCCCCACCCCGCAAGAAATAATAAAAGAAACGAGAAAATAGATTAAATTGCAAAATGTATGTTTGAGATTTATATACATTTTACGTTTTACATCTGCCAATCTCAAATCTCCACCTGACGAGCCAAAAGGTTGGTGCTATTTTGAAAGGAAAAATTTTAAAATGGGAAAGAATCAATTAGAGAATTGAAATTTAAATTTTCTCAATTGGGGACCTAGTTTTTTTTCCCTTAAATCAGGTTAGTCTTAATAGTTTCATTTCTCATTCCAATCTTTCGTTGTTCAACTGAAAAGAAAACTTTTACAATCCTCAGTAAATGTCTTAGTCAAAGATATATTTTCTGGGAACGCGGGTTTATTATTTTTGAAGTAAGTACGTAATTTACGAAGAAATTTTTTTCTCATTCCAAGCTTTCGTTGTTCAACTGAAAAGAAAACTTGTAAGAGATTTTTTTTTTTTTTT